CACTTTGCTATCAGGAGGCGTCGGGCTCGGCTGCTTTCAAAGCCATCGCACGTTTGTGCTGCCAAAGCCATTTATAACCCTCCTGTCGCTGGGACATACGGGCACCTTGGCTCCCCGGAAGGGCTTTACTCTGGGGAGGGCACAGGGTGGCCACTTCTCACCCCGAGCATCAGCTCCAGCCTGGGCTGGGGTGGCGGGTTGGTTCCAGAAGCAGAGGACAGGGCACGTCCCTGTTATCAGCTGGCTCAGAGCGGTGGCAGCGGGTGAGCAAACGCTGACTTGGCTGAACCATACAATGGGTGATCCCCCGGGAGCTGCTGCATGGTGCTGCTGCAGGCAGAGGGGCTGCTTGTAGCCCTGGGTGCACGGGCAAGGGACCACCCCTCATCCACAGCTCCCAGTGTCTGCTAAACAGATCGTGCACAGAGAAACACCTCAATGTCTTCATTAATAAAGGGGAGGAGAAGTGCTGAACAGCAGCAAAACTTCCCTTGCAGTGACTGGTTTCCAGCTGGAGATGGAAAGACCTCCCTCCCCCTGCACGAGCTGTGTTGCAGCGTAGACAAAACGCTGACAAATGTGCAGCCCTGTGTGTTGAGAACAATCTGACGGGTCTGTTCCATCGTTTGCCTTTGGGAAGAGCAGAGCACAAATACAGTCTCTGCAGGAACTGTTAAATCCCTCCTGAGCCCGCAGCTCTGTCAGTGCTCCTTCAAAGGAATCTGAAGATGAAAGGGGTGTGTTTGAGGCCATGCACCGCTTTGATCCCACCCTCAAGCAGGCAACACCCCAGCACTGAGCAAACAGCAAACCTGCCAATTTAGTGCTCACAGAATAGCTTCTGTTCAGGTAAACACTGAATTCAGCTTTCATCAGCCTTGCAAAGAGGCCATGGAAGTGCATCCACCCTTGTGCACAATCCACTCACTTGTCGTGTACCCCAGTGATTGATGGCAATGGGAAAATCCCATCGTCCAGCAGAATGTGTGGTGGTTGGAATGTCCTTGATGTCCCACCTGAACACAGATGTGTGCCTGTGTCCTGCAGAGCAGCCCTCAGCAAGGGCTATCATTAAATACCCCTCACTGGGGACACGAGGGAAGATGAGCTTGTGAAGGATCTGGTTCCTCTGCCTTTCCCCTCTCTGGCTGCTGACATCCTCTGTGATGGTATCACATTTGCAACCTTCAGGCCCTTTTCTCCAAAGAACATGATCTAGGCAGACTTCTCCCCCATCCGTGGCCTTATTCTGTGCAGATCAAGCTCAGATCAGAGCCGACATGTGGTTTAGCTTTGGGGTTTTTCATGTAAAGCCCTGGAAGTGTGGCTGCCCCATCCCTGGCAGTGTTCAAGGCCAGGTTGGACACAGGGGCTTGGAGCAACCTGCTCTAGTGGAAGGTGTCCCTGCCCGGGGCAGGGGTTGGAGCTGGAGGAGCTTTAAGTTCCCTTCAACACAAACTGGGCTGGGATCCCATGAAAGGCAGGGCCAGCATTGTAGGGGTGTGCAGTGGCTCAGCAGCTGGATCCCTTCCTTGGAGGGGCCATGCACACAGCGGACAGTTTGCAGCCCTGCTTCCCAGGAGCCTGTGACACTTTGGGAAGAGCAGCGATGCCGACCCCAGTGAATCCCCACACAGTACCTGGAAGTAGTTTCTGAAGGGGCAGTTAGTCAAAATTACCCACATTCCTCCTTGGTGTCCATCTCCCAGGAAGCTGAGCAGCGTCCCATGTTAGGAGGTAGTTCCTGCACCTCATCTAAAATCTTGTGCTTTCACCTGGGCAGGATATTTCCATCCTGGAAAATGCTACATGACACACAAGTAATTGAAGGTCAGGTTCCCAACCCCTTAATTCCATCTCGTTTGAGGTACTGGCACATTGAACACAGACATCTTCAGGGGGCTGGAACCCCTGTGCTTCACTGGATGGAGCTCACAAAGGTAGCTGGGAACATGGAGCAGTCAAAGGCTTTCCCTCCCCCTGGGCTACAGCTTCTGTGGTTTCACTCTTTGCCTTCAAGCCTTAGGCTTCTCACTGCATCTTTGCTCTGCTTAAGAAGGGCTGGTTTGACAGTGCCCCTCCATCCCCTCCTCCAGACCTCTGCTGCTCCCGTTTCCCTCTGGTGACCCCATTAGGACCAGGCAAAAGGCAACTGAGGTCTCCAGGAGAAACCCTCCCTTCCCAGGAGAAGAGCCTTGTGAGCCCCTTGGCTACTGCTCAAGGTTGGCTCCTGGCTCACCCAGTGCATGGCGGGTGTCAGACCTGATCCCATGTCCCCAGATGCCACTGCTGGCTCCTGGTGGATCTGTCCATAAGGAGGTCACAGCTGCTGTGTCATGATTAATGAGGGAAAACCCCTCCTGCCTGTGCAGAAGCTCTTCCCAGCACTGAATGCACTGGATTCAATGGATGGATGGAGGATGCCGCAGGGATTTAGCCCTTGGGATGGGCACGGCGGGAGCAGAAGTGCTCACTCACAGGGGTGTGGTGGTGATTTGCTCCCGTGGAAACAAGGAAACCGACAGTTCTCTTGAGGGTCTTGGTGATTTTATGAGGAATTTGATGGGAAGCCAATAGGGATGGGCAAAAAAACATGCCTTGCCCATGCGTTGTGAGCAAAACCACTTTCCTGTTTCAAGGAATTTCAATCCATTTTATTTGCCAATTAACCATCAGTTAATGTGGAACAGTCACAACTTCCCTGGGCAGCCTATTCCCAGAGAGTCATGAGGTGCTGGCACAGGGTGCCCAGAGGAGCTGTGGCTGCCCCATCCCTGGCAGTGTTCAAGGCCAGGTTGGACACAGGGGCTTGGAGCAACCTGCTCTAGCGGAAGGTGTCCCTGCCCGGGGCAGGGGTTGGAGCTGGAGGAGCTTAAAGGTCTCCTCCAACCACTCTGGGATTCTATGATAACGCGCCAAATGGAGCAAACACCCTCTTTTTACACCTTCATAGCTCCAGGGTGAGGATGGGCCTGGGCTGCTCAGTGCCCCAGGGGAGGCAATGCTGGCCCCAGAGGACATTGGCACACAAACCTCTTCACCAGCCATGGGGGACCATCAGAATGCCTCTCCACCACACACTGGCTGTTGCCACCTCACACGGAGACAACCCGCAGGATCAACATCTAGCTATAGCCAGCTGGGTGACACTTCCATTCCGTTTGCATCTGGATTCCTCCAGACTTGCTGGCTCTGTGGGCAATACGCATCGTGCCAGCAGCTGGATTTGCTGCAGTGCTCCTGCAGAGGCACTGCTCAGCACCCAGCGCTGAAGGCAGCAGCTGGGGGTAACCTGCTGGTGTTCACAGTTGAGATGTTAGCAAAACAGCCTGCTCAGATTTGGGGTGCCTTTCCTCCCCTCCTCTGCCTCACTTCATCTTGCCCAGCCCTCTGTGTGAGTGAAGGGGAGGGAACATGAGCTCTCTGCCTCATGCCGATGCCAGCCTGATAAGGACAGCACAAAACCACTGTGTAAAAATAAACCTGTAGTGCCTTGGAGAGCTCAGCCTTGCCCCTTGCTCCTCATGTGAGCACCAGGCAGAGCCTGGACGCTGTGGATCAGCTGCTGCAGTGAGGCCATGCTCATCAGCATTAATCTTCACTAGGCACTGCTGTCACTGGCATTGAACAGCCCCAGTTTGTTATTCCCTGTGGTAACAAGGTGCTGGCTGAAAGTAAATGTGATAGTGAGAGCACCTGAACCAGCAGCAGGGAGAGGTGGTGGTACTGCATGCAGCCAAGCAGTGTGTTAACGCTGGAGCCTACTGACAGCCATCAAAGTAGGACATCAGCTTTTTGCTCTCAGTACCTCATTGCTGACCAAAAATGGTAAGAAAAGAGAAGGTCAGTTCTGTGAGGAAGAAGTCACTTTGCAAGATACAGTGGTTTTGTTAATGGAGGATCAAGGGGAGAAATGGTGGGGAAAGACTCCTCCACTGCCCACCCTGCCCAAGCCGGAGGAGCAGGTTTCACCCTCTTGGTGTGATGACTGACAAGAGCTCTCCTGCTCCTGTTGCAGGATGCAGCTGTGGAGGATGCAGTGCTAAGGAAGAAAGAGCAGAAAGATGTTGAACTCGACAAGAAGATCTTGGCCCTGCGGAAGAAGAACGAGGCGCTCATACGAAGGTACCAGGTGAGTCTGCAGGTTCTGGCCTTCCCCAGCTCTGTTCTGGAGTCCTCAGCTCGCAGAGTGAAGGAAATGATGAGCAGTGTTGGGGTGACTCTGTTAAACAGACGACATTTTTACATGGGAAGGCGTTTGGAGTAGGTGGGCAGAGCTCTATTAGCCACAGCTCTGGAACTGCATTGGAAAGCAGGCCCACCAACGCGAGCCTTCTTGCTGCAGCACCTCCTCTCACCCTCCCATCTTCCTCTGTCTGCATCACACTTCCCACCCCTTCACCTCGTATTCCCCTGACTTTCCCCCATCTGTCCTTCCCAGTGTCTCCTGCTTATCCTCTTGGATGCATAGGAGGTTGCATCCTCAATACATTTGGTGGGTTTTCTTCCCTGTTAGGGCAGTGGTATCAGTTGAAGCTTTTCCCTGGCTGTTTTCATGGAGCACAGAGGTCTCCAAAGGAGATTCCATGAAAAAGAAGGAAGATGAAGGCAAATCAGGCTTTAGCAGCCTGCTGGTTTACCCTGCATTACGAGGAAGTACTCCAGCTACACCCCGTGGTTTCTGATCCTGCCTTGGCCAAGAGAGTCTACCCGGTGGCCTGCAGGACACATCCAGCCTGGCTTGTATGAGCTGGTTTGGGTGACACTGCGCTAACCCAGAGCTCTCTCTGGATTTGCTTTGCCTCCTCCATTAATGTCTGCATGTATCAGTACAGGTAGGACAGCCTGGGGGTGCTCCTGGCAGAAGGATTCCCCTTGGCTTATCTGGGATGTTCTCCTGCCTGTGCCCAAGGCCACTTGGTTTTCGGGGCTCTTTAGCACTTGCTGGCTGGGTGGGCAGTCTGGAGTTTGGCAAAGAACCCAAAAGCCCAGAGCACACTTTGTGTGTTGGAGCCAGAGCTGAGGCTGAGTGCTGCCTGCGCAGGGTCTTGCTTAGGAGGCACTTCCCTTGATACCATAGGAGCTATTCTGGACTTTTTCTGGTGGCAGCAGACGATGGGACGTGGTGGAAAGCTCTGGTTGAATGCCACAAGCAGCTGGAGGAGAGGAACTCGTCCTCCTGCACGAAACGCTACCCTGCCACCACTGCTTGGTGAAATGCCTAGAAGCAGCTGCCTCACAGACAGCCAGAGCTCAGTCACCTTCCCTTGGCCACTGATGATGCTCTGGCCCCAGACTGGCACAGGGACCATGGCTCCTTTGCACACCCTCCCTTTCTGCAGGCCTGCTGTGTCTTCCACAGGTCCTATACCTGAACCTCACACTGATCATCTTCCCTGCCTGTCAGGGAGGGACCCCTGTGCCCTGTGCTGAGACCACAGTGGATGCTCTGAGTCAACAAGAGATTTACTAAGATGCTTGTGGCACAGGGACAGGTAAAGCAGGTCACAGCTGCATGTGGCCCCTTCCAAGGGCACACAAATGGGACACAGGTTGATCCACTCCCTCTTAGAGGTGGAGGTGGATCCACTTAGGGGAAATCCTGAGCAGGAAAAGGCACAGCATCTGTAGACATGCAGAAAGGCTGATGATAAGGATGTATGTGTGTTTCAGGAAATAGAAGAGGACAAAAAGCGAGCTGAGCAGGAGGGAATGGCTGTTACCTCCAGGAGGCCCAAGCAGGATGGACTCACTATTACCATCACCAAAGCTCACAACGTAAGTGCTGCCTCTGTCACCACGGGCCAGCTCTCACTCCAGTGGCATTTCTGAAAGAACCACAGCAAAGCTCCTCCAGGCATAGGACAGAGCTCCTGGAGCCTTGCAGAAGGATGGGAAACCTCTGCAGAGGTGTGTGCTCGGAGTGGTTTTAGCTGATGCACACGAGCTTCCAGCCATGCCCAGGCACCTGCACCCAAGCACACGGAATTCACATGCAACTGAAGAAGTGTGTGAACAGGCCCTGGATGGGTCCCTGGTGTCAGCATCCCTGCAAACACATAGGCAGAGCATATGAGGTGTATGTGCGTCACTGGAGGCGTATGCCTCTGGGAATGCTTGTAGGCTGGGCAAGGTCATGGTCTCCAAGCAGCCCTTGGTTGCTGTGGGTCCCAGGCTTCCTTCCCAGCTGGGCAAACCTGTGTCTGCCCAACCCTGCCCACCCCTCCTGGCAGCGTGGGGCTTGGTAACCAGGGCACCACGCAGCAGCCCTGCTTTAACCCCCTCTGCCAGAGCTGGTGTGGAGCTCGCTGAGGCAGCCCACCCTCCATCCACGCAGCATTCCTGGGTCCTGGATCCTGGATCCAGGCGAGCACGGTGCTCATGTCTCAGCCATGCCCTGGCCCTGCCTCTCTCCAGAGGTGCACTGTTGCACACATTTTTCTCTCATACAGGACCTGAAAGATGCAATTACCCAGACTGAACACTATGGACAAGATAGCCCAGCCCTCTCGATGGTGAGCACCACCCTCAGGAGCCATCCCCTTGGCTTCCAAGGCCGTCTCCATCAAGACTTGGGCTTTCCCGATCTAACTCAGCTGCAGAAAGAGATGAGGATGACATTTGTTTCCTATAACTCTGGCATTTTAGTCTGAAATGTCAGATTTGTAAGTGCAAAGGATTTTGCAGTCCCACTGTAACTGTGGGTTTTGGTGCTGAGCAGACAAGGAGCCCCTTGTTCCCTAAGGAATGTCACGGCACCGCGCCAGGCGCGGGAAGCTTCCTCGGGGCAAGGCTGCCTTGGCTGAAGCTGGGCTCCCCATGTGTGTGCAGGTGTGTTTGGGGAAGGGAATCCCATCACTGAGCCAAGGGGCCTGGGTTTCCTAATGGCAATGATTTCATTTTCCAGGATAAAAGGGTGGTGAGTGAGAAATGGGGGAGCCCCTGCACTACGAGCCCTGCGTTCGGCATTGGCAGTGAGGAAGATGAAGAGGAGGAGGAAGCGGATCATATGTTCACATTCAGGATGGGGAAGAGGATGCAACTGGCTGTCACAATGGACAATAAAGCCAAGGTGAGCAGGGAACAGGATTCCTCTTACACTGCTGTCTCTTGACTTACAAAGCACCTTCTGTTCTGCCTCTCACTCGATCTTGCTGCTCAGCATGTCCCCTGGTGTCACATCTCCAAAGGGAATAATCCCCTTCCCTCTCCCTTTCCCTCATTTCTCAGTCCCTCAGCACAGCCTCAGTTTCCATCTCGAGCTGCCACACGTTTCCCTCCCCATGTCTGGCCCAGGCAGCAGCCCCCAGGCCCTGCTGACCCTCCCCAGTGGCTCCATCCAGCCACGTGCGGCCAGTTCCCTATCGGAGAGATGAGCCACTCATTGCCCTCCTGGGCCACCAGTAGGTTGGTGTGCCTGGAAAGGGGATGGAAGGAAGTGGGAGCTCGGACAGATTTAGCTGCATTACTATTCCCAGGGAGGCAGTGATAAAAACAGCATCATTTCTTCCTGTTACTGTATTCCAGAAAGTCCTAAATGCAGAAGGAAAACCATGGCAGCTGCCAATGTGATGGGCAGAAAATGCAACCCAGTCTGTGCAGACTTGATTAGAAACTGTGTGAAAAGGCAAAAGTAATTGAAAATGCTGCTTCATTTCTTAAATCCCAGAACATCCTGGGCACTAGCCCGTTCCCTGTGGAATCTGTGCATGTAGGATTAATGATCCCAGTGGCAGCTTTGGCATGTCAAGACTTATTTGCCAAGAAGGGTTTGATGAACCTTTGGCAGTTGGTATTTGGCAGCACGTCCCAGGAAGGATGGGCCCATATGAGCTTCACACTCTGGTTTTCTCCACTTGGAGTGAATCTCAGGGCCCTGATCCTGTTCTCACTGCACACAGTGAGTTTAAGCACAGGGATAAATAGGAACAAGGCTCAGAAGTGCCACCTTCTTTGGAAAGATGTGGTGTCTGCATGTGCAGCTCTGTGGGACTCGGGGGAGCCTTGCTGGGACTCTGGGGTGGATGAGACCAGCCCCTGTCGCAGCAGCGCTGGGAAAAGGAAGCGGTGGCAGAAATGGTGCTCCCGTGGGTCCCCTTTGAGGCACAGCAACGTGCTCGGTGCACAAAGCGGGGCTGGTCTGAGCTGAAGGCCAAGCCAAAGACATCCCCCAGGGTACTGAAGCAAACCCCACCCTTCCTGGGGCAGCAGCGCTGGAGCCTGGGCTGTAAACAGGAGGCAGGGAACAATTTCTGCCTCTGAAGCAGCTTGGATCTCTGGTGCTGTGCCTCAAATGCTCTTTCATTGCTGTTTCTCCAGGACCTCGTTACCTTTTCCTTCCACGAACAAATAGGCCACAATGATTGTGCCATTATAAAGCCATTATGTGTTACCTTGAAGGAACTGAATCATCTAGGAAATAATGCACCTTTCAGAATGGTTTTTGAGGAGAAAAGGACTGAGGCCTCTCATTTCCTTTGTTCCAGAGAGATTACCAGTAGCAAGAACATCCCCTTCTAATGACATCTCATTCCAGCACAGCCAAACCCCCTCCTGATGCAAGGGAAAACATCCTGTTTTTTCCTGGAACAGAGGGTACACAGAAATCTCACCATCCTCATTACAGACTGAACTCTGCCAGTGAAATACTCCCAGGTCTCTCATGGCTTTGTAGCTCTGCATGGGCTTCTAGCTGAAGCAATTACATGTGCAGGGTGAGTGACTCTTGCAGGCAGGCCGTGTCCCCTGCAGCTGTTTCCATCTTCTGTAACTCAAATTCAAGTCCTAGATGAGGATTTGTGTTAGCACAAAGCACTGTTGCTGCCTTGAACTCTGTGCCAGTGTTAGTCAGCATGGCCCCTTCACAGACCTCTGGGGTTTTAATGCTGACAACATGGACCTCTATGGAAACTCCCCCTAAGTTCCCTGTTGTATGGGATATATGAATTTCCTTACATTAAGAGCCTTTCACAGGCCTTAGAAGCCCCCCATCGTCTCTGGAGGTGTTGGCACAACCCAGCAGCCTGACTTGATGACGGAGGAAAACTAATTTATAGGTGGATGTTTCATTAGCACCCATCCAGAACCTTCAAATATAGTTCTCAAAATGAATGAGCAGGAAGAGCATGGGACTGCAAAGGGTGAGAGGGGCAAATGAGTGGGATTTTGGACAACACTGTATTGGGGATCATGTGAAGCACAAGCTTATTTGTTGCTGCTGTCCTGTTAAGGCACCAGGGGTAGGTTACTTGCTCCAGCTTCCCAGTAAGCTTCACCAGGTGCCCTTGGAGACACCTGCTTGGTGAATCTGAGGTGACTAAATGGGCCATCAGCATCCTTCCTATGACCATGGCAAGGCTCAAGCGACAGAATTACTGGGCTGTGCCAGAAACCATTTACATTCAACCCTAAATGTCACACATCATTGTACATGAGACGCCCCAAAGGAAAGGCAGCTGGAAAACTGCATAAACTGGACAGGGCTTTCCTTTGTTCCCCCTTGTTCCTCAGATGGGTATTTTGAACAGTACCTCTGCAGTCTGGAGCACGCCTCAGTAATAAGGTGGGAGCTTCTCAGTGCAGTTTGTCAGTGGAGTGCTACAAGGCAGCAGTGCAGGTCTGCTGCCTGCAGCTGAAGAGCTTGTGCCAGAGTCCCAGCCCTCGTGCAGGCACGGAGTGAGCTGGGACAGGCCCTGGGGAGGGGACAGGGTGGCTCGGACAGGCCCTGTGGCTCTTTGGGCCCTGCTCTCTGCTCCTGTTGACTCTGCTTGGAGCTTTCCTCATCTGACATCCCTCACTGTGGGAGCTGGGAACCAAGGACCGGGATTTCCCAACGTGGGACAAGCCAGCTAGGAAATCACTGGTACCACTGCCATAAGAAACAAGGAAAGGAAGACGCATGTTGGTGCATTGAGCAGACTGTGCCTTCGGGTGACACATCTTAGCTCTGTAGGAGCAAGGGAGGGAAGGAAAAGGTATGACATAGAAAAGCTGGTGGTCTCCCAGCCTGTGTGTCTCTATCAGAGCTCTGATTTCCTGTGTCAGCCTCTGAGCCTTCCCTGCCATCTGCTTAGTAAACTGCAGGGTTTAATGGCATTACCAATGTGCCAACCTTCCCACAGAGAGTTTTAACATCTAATGGCCCAAGGAAGGTGCCACCACCACATAAATCCAGTATTTCACATTTCACTAAATGCCATGAGCTTCCCTCCTGCTCATGGCATTTGGGCACAGGGTCCTGTATGTTTGAGTACACTGGTTTTCAGGTAGTGGCTTTGCTGTCACACTCAGGACCCATGTCCCCCCTCAGGAAGGACTTTGTCAGGTTGTAAGTGATGAAGCCATCTTCAAACACACCCACCCTGGCAAGAGATATTTGTGACCATGTTATTTGGGAAAAGGAGGGGCCATCACCACCTGGACACTGAAGAGCTGGAAGGAACAGTTAGAATTAAGGTTTGATGTACAAGTTATGGATTTAGAGCTTGTTATTCCCTTGCTAAGCCACCACTGGGCTTACTTTCTTAATTAAACAACTGTATTAAGTAGAATGTGGAGCACCTCCTATCAGTGCTCTGTTTAGGGCAGAGCAAGCGCAGCTCTCCAGTTCATTACCTAACCTAGGATTACTGTACATGCCTGCTCAGGGCTTAAAGCACAGAAGTTGCATTGCCTTGAGTGCTTCAAGAAGCTCAGGATTATCCCTGCAGCAAAGACACTTCCTGGGAATAATAACCATTGAAGAACAAAGTGATGTACAGCTTCAGCACCAAGGTATCCACCAGGCTCAGGCAATTCAGTGGTTCCAAAGCAAAACCACTCCATGTTTCCAGCTTCTGAATCATGCTACAGATGACAGAGCAGGGAGACAGGATAGCACACAGTTACCAGCCTACTCTGCAAGGTGTAATGTGGCTGGCTGCCTTCAGAGGATGTCAGCAGAGCTCAGCTCTTCCCCACGTATATCACAGTGAGCCAGAACTGGGCCCTGTGCAGGAGGGTCTTGCTTCAGTCGTTCCCCTGATTGCCAAAAGCTTTGCTCTGATGGTGGGAGAGCAGCATCCTGGGGGACTGTGCATGCTGGGGCAAGAGCAGCACCTTCCAGGGGCTGGGGGCTCCTCAGGGACAGCCTCCTGGGCTGCAGGGAGGCAGATGCTGGGGAAAAGAGAGATCCTTTCATAGGAGGTCGCTTTGCAGGTTGCTTTGTCCAGCTGCCCAGATGGCTCTACACAGCCCTTCTCCCCAGAGGACATGAGTGAGGAACAGGGCTTTAGGAGAGGAGAGGCTGGTGTGGGAGAGAAAGCAGAGAGGTGCAGTCCTATATACACCAGTTCCAAACCAGGGAGACTGTACTTGTCCCTGCTGTGACTCCACTGATAGATTTGGGATTAGGTCACAGACCCATGATGTGTAGAGGCTCCAAAAAAGGGCCAAGCACTTCTCTTCCATGTCTTCCGTGCATAATCATAGGATCCCAGAGTGGTTCGGGTTGGAAGGGACCTTAAAGCTCCTCCAGTTCCAACCCCTGCCCCGGGCAGGGACACCTTCCACTAGAGCAGGTTGCTCCAAGCCCCTGTGTCCAACCTGGCCTTGAACACTGCCAGGGATGGGGCAGCCACAGCTTCTCTGGGCACCCTGTGCCAGCGCCTCAGCACAAGACAGAGTTTAGTTTTCCTTGTAAAGGGGAACTGTGAGCACAGACAATGATGCTTATTGCTTCATTGCTTCATCCTTTCTAGCTGTGGAGACAGTTTGAGTGGGAAGGTTCAGGTTTCCAGAGCAGCTGGCAGGGTTTCAGTGTTCACTACCCGTTCATTGTGGTGGGAAATGGCTGTTCATACATCTGGGAGACACACGATTCAGTAGTGTAACTTTCCAAGCTGCTCTATAAGAGGGATCCATTTACATAGTCTTTAAAGGAAGAGTTAAATAAAACTGCATCTCCTTTTATCACAAGGTAGGAGCACCACTTGATACACAGCAACCTCCTAAAGTGACCGTGTTAATACTGTATTTGAGAGCTAGTAGATCATCTCAGCATCACTGCCAGTAGGAATGAGACCAGAGGATGCCCCATGAACCCAGAGGGGATGGCAGGAGAGATCTCAGCTTCAAATCTGTGGTCTGAAATACAAGACAGTCTATTCAAAAGGTTAATTTTAATTCCACCCACATCCATTAACTCTGATTTCCCCTGACATAAAGAGAAACCACATTGGTTTCTTCGACTGCAAGCAGGAATCCTGTGCTGGTCATTCTAATTCCAGTCTGCAGTTACAGTGAAATTTAAGAATAAAACATATTAATCACAAAACATACACAGGATTTGAGACATTCTTTATGCTTTAGAACATTTTGTGTTTGCTAATAGTTCTGGCAGTGGAAATATGTCACCTTTGGACATAATGTGGTTCAGTCACTCAGAAGCAGGTGACACTTAAAAGCCAAGACCTGAGTGCTTGTGAGCTTCAGAGCTGCCTGATCCTGAGTCCTGGTCTGCAGTGCCTGGTTCCACTCAGCTAACAGCCAGAGCTGCAGAAAACAGCCAGATTACTGACTTCATACCTGCATATTAAATTCATTGCTTGCATACATGTGCACACGTGCATGTGGATGCAGCCCACCTATCCCATCTTCTTTATTTAAATGGTCCATAACTGAACCTTCCAAGGTGCTGAGTGCAGCATTTCTCTGACTGCCACTAAGGTGGGGACTGAGAGGTTCAGAGCAGACCTTGCCAGCAGAAGACAAAGCAAAGACAGCCCAGAGTAACCAGTCTTTTCCATGCCCTGCTCCCACTAAGTTGCCCACCCTATTCCATAGCAGGCCACCAGCTTTCTTCAACTGTTTTTGCTGCTAGTGTGTTACCTTCACATCTCCCACTTGTTCCAGCTCCAAGTGAGCTTTGGCTTTCCCAACTCCATCCCTGCTTGCTCAGGTCCTGTTCCCATAATCTTTCTTGAGAGCCTGTCCCTTCCCACTTCCCACACACTCCCTTTTTGCACTGAGGATCAACCAGGAGCAGCCTGCTCAGCCAAGCTGGCCTCTTTCCTCACCTGCTCATTTTCTTGTGCAGCAGGAAGTCCTTCCTTACGTTCCTGTGCGTTGTCCATGGAAATCAATCAGGTCTCCTGGGCTCCTTCCTCCTTCAGGACAGCTTCCTGCAGGATCCTGCCTGCCAGTTCCCTGAACAACTCACCATCTGCTCTCCTGAAGCCCATGGTCTCTAGGCTGCTGCTTGCCTGAATTCCTGCTCTCAGGCTCCTAAAATCCACTGACTTCTGGTCACTGCTGCCAAAGCTGCCTTTGACCATCACATCTTCAGGTCTGAGTTTAGTAATCGGGCAGCCACTACTAAGCTGCAGTAACACAACCACTTGTAAGGCTGTGGCTGCAATGGGATGTGTAACTAAGGACAGTGGTACATGCCCTATTCATGGAGGGGGAGAAAAGCTCAGATTTCAGAGCAGTTCAGATTCTGGTTTGAACTTTCTGGTTTTGCCTACTCTGATAAAACCAAATCCATCTTTAAACAGATACATAGACAAAAACCTTTAAAACAGCTCACACAGCTTATAGGTATGGGGACTTTTCCAGGACACGGATCCTGAATGCAGGTACACAAAATGTCTGGCTATGATGGATGCCCAGACAGTTGTACTCCATAGAAGAGAAGCTGCTGGAGACCTCAGAGCAGCTTCCAGTGTCTGCAGCGGGCTACAAGGATGCTGGAGGGGGATTCTTCATCAGGGACTGTAGCAATAGGACAAGGGGTGATGGGTTCAAACTGAAACAGGGGAAGTTCAAGTTGGAGGTAAGGCAGAAGCTCTTCCCTGTGAGGGTGCTGAGGTGCTGGCACAGGGTGCCCAGAGAAGCTGTGGCTGCCCCATCCCTGGCAGTGTTCAAGGCCAGGTTGGACACAGGGGCTTGGAGCAACCTGTTCTAGTGGAAGGTGTCCCTGCCCGTGGTCTTAAGGTCCTTTCCAACCCAAACCATTCTATATTTAAATGGTTGCCTGTTCTTTCCACTGTCAGATTTTGCTCTCAGGAAGAAGGTCTTGACATCTCCAGGGATGTCCCACAGGTGCTGGTCCTCAGCAGCAGGCAAAGTAGGAGGCGGCATTGACACAAACGTGGAGAACAACACAGAAAGTACTAGAATGGTATGGAAGAGATTGGCAGCAGATCCTTACTGTGAAACACAACATGTGGCTTCACTTAGTTCAAGCAAAGCAGAAATAACAAGGGTCCTACTCAGGGCAGCAAAACTTGTCAGGGGCTACAGCTGAAACCTAAACCCAGAGCTGCGTGTGCTCCGGGAACGCATGAAGGGTTCCCACCATGCCCACCCAGCTCAGGCAGGCAGAACCATCAGCAGCACAGGGACACACTTCTCCTCTCACATGCATCAGACCAACTTGAGCACTGTCTTTGCTGAAAGAGCAGAATGACACAGATGTGAGGGAAGAATAAACAAGAGACTGAAGGTCTGCTGCTGGAAGTGCTCCAGCACCTCCTGAGCCATTTATCATGTGTTAGGAAGCTCGACGACTGGACAAGCCATAAAAAAGCTCTTGCTGACGGAGGCTGTCTGCAGCAAGGCTCCCTCCTCGCTAACATCTGCACCTCTGGCAGAGCCAAGTGAAGATGAGGCTAATGCAAGACATCTTGATGTCATCTGTCATGGCAATTCACTGGTGCTTGCAAGGCTTCCTCACAAACCAGGGGTCAGTGAGTGCTGTTTGTTTTTGAAAGCAACTTCGTAGCAACAGAGAGTTCCCAAGTTTCACTGAGGTTTATTTGGGGATATTGAGCTCCTTTGAAGTCAAGGCTCCAGATGTGTGGAAGTCTAAGGAATGAAACAGAGGAAAATATACCACTCTTTAGAGAGGGAAGCTGCTGGGGTTTGTTCATCCCTGGTAAAGTGGAGCAGAGGAATGGTACAGATAGAGGGAAGAGAAAAAGATCAGTGATAAAGATGGAGATGATTTATGAAGTTGCTCATTTCCTTGTAAGGCAACAATAAAAAGGCACATGATAGAACTGAAAGATGATCCTTTGACATGAGGAGAAGTATGTATTTTTGTACAAAAGATGTGCTCATGTTGTGGAAGTGATGGCTCAGGACACAGCCAGCACCAAACACCATTGCCATAATAAGAACCAGATGGAAATCCGTGCAGTAAAGCCCTGCACTGATACAGACAGCTTGAAATAATACATGAAAGGGGGAAACTGCCCTTGTCCAAGGAGTTTATAGATCACTTTTCTGCACTGTTCCACTGCTGAATAAATCATGGCTATGAAGGTGATAAATTAACAAGTGTTAGTACACTTCAGGGTAGTAACTGCTTTGTGGGCAAGGATGGAGATCTGCAAAGACGGAGCCCTCTAGGCTTCTGCCCCAGTGCAGGCTCACAGTGTACTGGGCCCTGTTGTTTGGTGAGAGCACAACTTCACATTTGTTTCAAAGACACAACTATAAGATGGTTTGCCTGTCTAAAATAAAAGCATCAGTGTTCATGCTGCAAAGCACCTGAGCAGGACAAATCCCACCCTTCCTAGGCTGTGCTCAGCTGAACTTGCCTGTGTAATATGACATATCCCTTGAAGTCGAGTGGCAGCTCTACAAACCAGCCAGGCTGACTCTGCCTGTCTCTCAATCCCATGTGGCTGGGGATGGCCTCTCTCCCGGGAAGGGCACTGCATGGCTGGGCAGGTGGGATTGTCCTTAACTCATCCTGTCCTTCCCAGGGCAAGCGCATCGTCAGTGAGAAGCGCTCCGAGTGCTTCCCAGGCCCCAGCAGAGTGCCAGACCCCGGTGAGGAGGACACGGACCATTTGGTGGCTTTCCGGCGGGGCAGGAGGATGCAGATTGCCATCACCATGGATAACAAGGAAAAGGTAAGTGCACTGCAACGTGTCAGTGGCATCCACTTGTTCTGCTGCCATGAGAAGGGCTGTGGAGACAGATGTGGAGCTGGCCCAGCAACAGGGCGTTGGGAGAGACTGTGTATTAATAGTGTGGAGCTTATCACCATCAAACTCGCTGGCTTATGTCACTGTGAGAGAGTGACACAGGCCTTTCCCTTCTCTCTGATCCTAGCTAGAGCTAGCAGGCTCTTAAACATACTGGATCCATAAGTAATAGCTGTTTTGGGAGGATTGATGACAGCACTGTCAGATATGGGGCATGAATCTCACCTCCTGTCTCTCACCAGTTTCTTTTTGGGGCCATAGAGCAGATTGAGTGAGGAACACTGTCCTCTTGGCTCACTTCAGGACTTAAAAGTTGACAGAGCTGGGCAATATCTGCTTCTGAAGCCAAGTCCTGCTGTGCCTGGCCATAACCTACTGGCTGAGCTGCCCGAACTTTGTTAATCTTTGAAGCATATTTCAAATACTTTTTTGCAAATACCTTCCTCTTTACACACACAAAGGCATGTGATATTTTCCTCTTGGAGAGTTTGCACAGATAAGTTGGAATGCCTGCAGCAAACAGGGTCAGCAAAGACTAGGAAGGAAAACAACACTTAGCGTGGCTGCCAAACACACCCAGGAATGCTGGGAGACCTATGCAGCACCCTCTGTGGGCCAGCAGCCAACCATCTGCTATCTGCTTATGTTAATCTTAGTTTCTGCTCCTCACCAGAGTTTACCTAGGCTCTGAAAGCCCATGTGCTCCTTTCTCATAGCTCTCAAGCACCTCCTTGAATGCCATAAACCTCACATAGGCTGCCTGATTGAACAGCTAGTGTTTGTCTGTTCTCCAGAGGTCCATGGGGCAGATGTCACCTATTTCAGCCTAAGCATCCTTGAGGCTCTCAGATGTAATTCTGTGATGTGCAGAGCAAGCATCTCTGCTTCTGCTCTTGCTGGCCTTGTTTAAATAGTTGTCTCTGAGGCCATCAAGTCTGGGACTGTGCTAGGAGACAGTAGCAGGGCTGCCCAGATTTTGGCTTCAGATCCTGTGCCCCGGTTTAAGTGCATGGAGAGCCCTGGTCATCTCTCCTATACTTTCATTATGGAATGTGAAATTCAAGGCTGATGGTCCGTATATGTGGGTTTGGCCATGCCTTGCACACACTGGCCCTAGAGCTGGTAGAATCAGTATGTACGAGAGCCCAGGCCTACAGCTGCACTGGCTTAGAGCTGCAGCTACCTACACCTTTGTACATGAACCACTGAAGAGGTGATGCTTCAGAGTGTAGCCTGGCAAAGAGGGTGTCCCTAAAGCCCGGCAGATTTGATGCTGTGATTCAGCAGAGGTTGGTGTCCTGGATCGTGCTCCTGCCACTTCCAGCTCCCGCTGTGCTGCCATTCGTTTGAGCTCATTCATTTAAATTCATTTCCATGGAACACAATTACCTCCGTGTAACAGAGCAAGGAGCTCACATGACCCTGACAACCCTCCTTTCCTGTGCATAAATTGTACATAACCACAGTGGTCTCCTTCACACAGCCTGGGCCAGGAGGTAATCCTGATAATCCCCAGGAACACAAGCAACTCTGCTGCTCCTCCTCAGACACCAAAGCTCATTTAAAGCCTTCTCTTGTTTTTAACTTTAATCCAAACCCAGTTGTGCAGTTGGCAGAGGGTAGGAGTGAAGCTCAGGCACTCTTCTAGCAACAGCAGGCTCTGAGGCATGCCTGCTAGGTGCTGGTGTGGCATCCATGGGGAGAGGATTTTGTAGAGTCATTTGGTGCCTTCAGACCTCCCCTGAACAAGAGGAGGATCTCCTGTCAGAGCACAGGAAAGCCACAGAGGCTCCATATAACTCTAGCTAATGAATAACACCGCTGAGGAGCAGTATATACCCTCAGCATTACGTCAGACTGAAAATAAAGATTAGTTTTGCTGAACACTTGGTCTACTGGCTGGAAAGAACCTGGCTCAACAGCAGTCTTGGACTGGCATCGCTGGCAAGACCCGTTTAGTCATAGATAGCATCATGCTTCTTGCTGGCACAGGAAAATTGGGCTGAGCTCGGGAGACTTCCCTGTTCCCAGTGATTTCCCTTGACTGATCGGGCCCTGAGCCATCCCTCACTAATGAAGATATCTTCATATGGGCACTTTGATCATGTAACCTCAAACAACAGCTACAACAGCCACAACCAAACCCAGCTCTCAGCACACCAGCACCTTACAGCGTGTCAACAGGATGTGTCTGTAAGGCAGTTCCATGCTTGGATTTCACAGCCTCCTCTGCCAGCTGCTTTCTTCCATCTGCACTTGGTCAACCTTTTCCTGGGGTCAGTGACAGAAGCAGATGGGGCCTGAAGTGACAGGTCATGTCAGCATCTCAACCTCATGCCAGCTCGGGCTGGTTGAGTCGAGGGAGGTTGGGTCTGGCCACCCTGTCACTCAGCTGCTCCTAAGCTGCACTAAGGATTAGTGTTTGAAACCAGTGCTTCTTTCTTCTCATAGTGACAGTGCTTGAAAAATGGAAACCAGGAAGTCTTTAGACTGGAGCTGAGGAACAATTCCTTCCCCAGAGGGTGCTCAGACATGGGAACAGGCTGCCCAGGGCAGTGCTGGAGTCACCGTCCCTGGAAGCATTCACACGCAATGTAGATGAGGCCCTCAGTGACATGGATTAGTGGTGGCCTTGGCAGTGCTGGGATAAAGTTTGGACTTCATGGTCTTGAAGGTCTTTTCCAATCTGGTTGATTCTGTGATTCTGAGTCTGTCTCAGATGCTTTGCCTCAGAGCAATGAGTTTCTCCAAGGGGTGCTGGCAGACTGCAAAGAGCACATCAGAGTTAGTAACTGCAACTCTGTACAACCTCTGTTAAATAACTTCAGCCTGCAGAAGTGAGCTAGGCTGTTGAATACAGCAAATCATTTTGGGAATGGAAGCCAAAGCCCAGCAGCACTGCTGGGATCACAGCATCCACCAACCCTGGCTGCCCTGGGCATCAGTCGCTGCCACGTAAGCAAGGTTATAGTGTGTGTGGTGACAACAGGCATGTGAGCAATGCTGGGTGGCTCAGCACAGCCTCACTGCAGGGAAAGCGGCAAACAGGGAAGCAGCTGGTAAACAGGGAATCCTGTCCAGTGGCTCTGCAGCCCAGAGCAACCCCAGCACTGCAGCAGAGCTGGGACCTGCCCAGGGCCAGGCACTAACTGGTGTTATCACAGCAGGGTTTGCACTAACACCAAGTGCCTGCAGCAGCAGCCAGCAGCACAGCCTTGGGGAAAGAGCAGAAGACCAGAGAATCACAGAATCCCAGAGTGGTTTGTGCTGGAAGCACCTTAAAGCTCCTCCAGCTCCAACCCCTGCCACGGACAGGGACACCTTCCACTAGAGCAGGATGCTCCAAGCCCCTGTGGCCAACCTGGCCATGAAGGAGGTTGGTACAGGACTCATCCCTCCCCTCCTATACCCACCAAGTTAGGGGCCTCCTCTGCCAGGAGCAATATCTTTCTCCTTGACAGGCTTTTTCTTCCCAAATTCTAATCTTTTTCTGGTTCTGAGTCCATCTAAACTTTATCCCCCACATCTCCAGCCAGGAGCTCCAATGTTAAGGGATGTCCTGTGTGGAAACATCCATCCCTTCTAGTTCTTCACACTTGCCACCTGAGAACTCCACTGGATGTTTCTGCACCAGGGGAAGCAGCACATGGATCATTCTCTTCTCACTTTCCCCAAGCACAAATGATTTTATTGACCCATTTCACATCTCCATCCGCTTAAAGATCCTGACCCCATTTAGACCTGACTTGTGAGGAACCTGTTGTATATTTCTTATCACTCTCATTACCCTCATCTGTCCCTATGTTGTTTTCACTATATTCTTCTAATACAAGAAGACCAGAACATGGTATTCAAGCTGTGGATGTACTCAGGGACATAGCAATGTGTGTGGCTTGTTCTCTATTCTTTTCCTAACAACTGCATGTTCTTTGCTTTATTTCTAAATCATTGAGCTAACATTCTCAGAGAACCAGTCACAAGAACACCAAAATTCCATTCCTGACCAGGAATCATAGTTCATTACTGTGGGTCTGTGTGTAAGAAGGGGCATTTTTCCCCATGTGAGCTATTTTGCATTATTGATACTGAACTTCATCTGTAATTTTTTGGTGCAGGCATTCGATGTCAAGAGATCTTTTGCAGTTCTTTCCTGGCAAATTACATTCTCTGCCCTGGATGATTTAGTGTCATGGGCAAACTGTCATCTCCCTCTTCCTTTTCCAGACCATTTATGAGCATGTTGAGCAGTGCATGTTCCAGTGGCACCCCCCTGCTCATCTTCTCCCATGGAAACTGGTGTTTTCTTGCCACTTGTTCTCTGTCCTTTAGTTAGTTGTTAATCCAAAAGAGAAACTTCATTTTCATCCCCCAATCGATCAGCTACTGGCAGAGCCTGATGGGGTGTCAGTGGTGTTGGCTGATAGCTGTGTGTGAGGGCCTGAGCTGAGACTCCCAGCTCAAGGATTAGCTTTCAGGCTCCCTTATTCCCCACTAACCCCTGGCACTGAGGCCTCGGCTCCACGGGCTGTGAACACTTGCAGGGACGGTGACTCCAGCCCTGCCCTGGGCAGCCTGTTCCAATGCCTGAGCACCCTCTGGGCAAGGAATTGTTCCTCAGCTCCAGCTAAACCTGCCCTGGGGCAGCTTGAGGCCATTTCCTCTTGTCCCATCCCTTGTTCCATCGCTTGGGAGCAGAGCCCAGCCCCCTCCTGGCTCCATCCTCCTGTCAGGCAGTTGCAGAGAGCGATCAGGTCCCCCCTGAGCCTTCTCTTCTCCACACTAAACCCCTCAGGTCCCTCAGCCCTTCCCCATCACACTTGTGCTCCAGGCCCTGCTCCAGCTCCGGTGCCCTTCTCTGGCCCCGCTCCAGCACCTCAATGTCTCTCTTGCAGTGAGGGGCCCAGACCTGACACAGGATCCGAGGTGCAGCCCCACCAGTGCCCAGTGCAGGGAGATTATTTGATGGGCATCCCCCTTATCCTCCATTTTCCTCTGTTTTTATAAAACCCCAAAAGACCCCCATGTGTGCCACCCATGCTGCTCCTCACTAGCACCGTGGTGTCAGTCCCAGCCCACACTGGTACTGGCAGTGCACAGCTCTGGCAGGAGCTGCCAGAGAGGAAATTCAAGTGAAAACTGTTCCCATTATTTCCCTCTCTGACCCCCCCCAGTGCCTTACATTGCCCTGCCACCTTGAAGCCTGTTGCTTTCTACCTCCTCTGTTAGCACAGAGGCCCGGGGGGACCACATTGTCCTGTCTCCTTGCAGAATGAGTTAGCTTGATCCCATCCCTCTACTGATGGAACTCCACACCTCCAGTGCTGCTGCTGGCTTGGAGGTGCCACATCTGGGACCTTTCCTCCCACCTCTGCCTGGCTGCCCCTACCTCTGCACCAGGGCTCCCTCTTCAAGCAGTAATGCCTGATGTTTAGCAGCAGTTTTCCTAACAGCCACTGCGTGCTCTGGCTGTGTTTCAGACTCACTAATACATCAGAGCTGGGAGCCAGCAGCCCAGGACCAGTGGAGCACAATGGTTACTTAGCAGGTTACAAGTCATCTGTAAAACAGACAGCTGATAGGGCTTCAGGGCTTTAAAACTGTCCTTTTATTAACAGAGTTTCCCAGGATGCTGTATCGGAAATGACTTTGTAATCAAGAGACACAGAAGCAGCTCTCAGGAGCTGACACTGATGAGTCTGATCCTGTGCTCGAGTAGGAGAGAAAGCAAACCCATGGCAGGAGAAACACTGGCTTTTACATTGCAGATGGGAGGGGAAGATGAGCAGAAAAGGGGCTGAAAAGTCTTCAGCTCCCTTCAGGCAGCACAATCAGGAGGCAGAGTTTTCAAAGGAGTTGGGAAAAACACCCTCTCATGCACTGGCTTCAGAACTCCTGCCCTGGGAATCCCTGTGTGGGACCTGAGCACTGGAGAACCAGCTCCAAGCTCTTCCAACAATCTCCTCCTGCAGGAGAAATGCCAGTTCTGGTGCTGTCACATGCCTGGAGAAGTGGGTACCAAAAGGTTAATTCGACACATCTCTTGGTACTTTAAAATAAGAACACAGTGAAGTAGCCCCAAGATGTCCAAGCCTGATAAAGCTTTTGCTCTGGAGAACTGTTAGTATAGAACAATCCTCAGCATGGCTGGATAATGGTATCAGCATTGTCACCGCTGCACATTAACATTGGCTGGGTGTATCAGGAAGTCAGACAGACCCAGCATCAGGAAGGATTTGGGATCCCAGGGCTGTGTCCTGGCTGGGAGCAGGCTCTGCACCACCCAGAACCATTCTATGGCTGAGAAACCAAGAAACCTTTGCACGAATCTGAGGATAAACAGACATAATCTCTGTCTGCTTTGGGTTCCTGTTCCCTCCTCACGTCTCTTCCCTGCTGAGCAGGAACAGTTAAACTATGACAGGACAATGTCATTGTCATATTTCATCATTTTGGAGGCGGAGAGGAGGAGGGAGGGGAAAAACATGTTTTGCTTCCCCATGGCCTGGGTGTGTCATAGCAGGCTGACAGCAGCTCTAGGGCAGCACAGAGCCAGCATGAGGATCTGCTCCTGAGCCCGGGCAAGATGTCATGGTTGGATTTAACAATCTTAAAGGTCTTTTCCAACCTGGTTGATTCTGTGAACAGCAGAACTGTCCATGTCAAGTGCACAGCAGCACTCCGGGTAGGAAAGAACAAGATCTTTCTGCTCCTCTCTTTTCCACAGTCCCCTTTGAGCAGCAGAAGTAGAAGCAGACTAAGGACCAAGGCAGCCTGGTTTGGAGTGAGGGGTGTAGAATGGTGGAGACTCGCACCGTGCCCCTGTGACAGAGGGGCTGCTGTGTGCACCCATGAGCTGGCGCCCAAACGGGACAGCCCAAAGCGGGCCACAGGCGCATAGAGGAGCTGCAGCCCGGCCCCAGCTCCTTTCCTGGGTGCAGGCTTGCTCTTTGCTGCTCCTTGGCAGAGGCAGAGCCGAAGCGGAGCTGTGCTGCAGGCAGAGGCTCACACGCTGCTCCCCCCGCGGTTACTCACAGCCTGGCTCCGTGCGCCGGCTCTGCGGATCTTGGACTTCCCGCTTCCCGTCTTCGGGGACACAATCAGGCATTGTAAAGGCTCCAAACTGAATCATGCTTTGCATGAGCTTGAATGAGAAATATGCAGACAAATGAAACAATAAGCACGCCCATGCAGCTCCCTGCCTCAGTTTCTCCATTCATTACGAGCTGTCTTTGGCATTCCCAAGGCAATCAGTGCTCCTTCCCTCCTGCCTCTCCTCCCACACAGGGTTCCGCAGGGACAGAGGGGCTCCAGCTCTTCTGCAGCAGCTGGTTTCTTTGGACTCTTTCTAAATTATGAGTTTCTTTTACAGCTGCTTTACAGACTAAACATCCATCCGCACCTTGCTCCCCAGCCAGCCCCCTCCAGTGAGCAAAGTTCCCAGGTTTCTGCTGTTTGAATATTCTCTAAATAGAATCCCAAACTGGTTTGTGTTGAAGGGCCCTTAAAGCTCCTCCAGCTCCAACCCCTGCCCCGGGCAGGGACACCTTCCACTAGAGCAGGTTGCTCCAAGCCCCTGTGTCCAACCTGGCCTTGAACACTGCCAGGGATGGGGCAGCCACAGCTTCTCTGGGCACCCTGTGCCAGCGCCTCAGCACCCTCCCAGGGAAGAGCTTCTGCCTCAGAGCTCATCTCAGTCTCCCCTCTGGCAGGTTCAAGCCATTCCCCTTGTCCTGTCCCTGCATCCCTTGTCCAAAGCTCCTCTCCAGGTTTCTTGTAGCCCCTTTAGGCACTGGAAGGTCACTGAGAACTCCTAGGACAATGTAGCTAACATCTTCCTTATTATTTCCAAGGATCTGTTTACACCAGCTTCCATTCATGCTGGAGCTATACTAGCTTCCCACCAGTCACACCAGTGAAGCTGTCGTGCGCTGAGTGCACTGCCCAGGAGCACTGGCTCTGTGGTCACACTTCCTACCTGCCCCAGGCTCAGCACATGTGGCCAATCCCCAGAAGACTGTCCCCAGCTCACTCCCTGCCCAATCCTGCCAGGTACATGGGAACAGACTGCAGTGGGATGAGCTGCCTTTGGAGGCTGGGCAGAGCTGGCAGGAATTGGGACTGGTATCCTGATATTGAGGCCGGCATCCTGAGCTTCCCACATCCAGCCCTATAACGCTGGGCTGAACCTGTTATAACGCTGGTCTGAACCTGGGTCTGTCAGAGGGCTGGGGTAACAGTCCTGTCCCAGCCTGGGCTGGCCCTCACCACACCACCGCTTTCTGGAAGGGCTGAGCTGGCGCTTTGTGCTGTGTTTCAGTTGTTTCAGTTCTGCTTGGCAGTGCAGGATGGCACCGCGGCGACCTCAGCCCCCACGCAGCAGCTCACAGGGAGGGCAGCCCGGGGGCTCTGCTGGGCTGCAGCACCAGGGGGCTCTCACTGTGAGGATCACACAAGCCCAGAGCAGAGGCCTCAGCACACAGCCCCAGCCAGGGGGGCTCAGCAGCGTGGGGGACACGCTGCCCACAAGCAGCCCTCCTGGAGGCACCCACCAGTCCTGCCTCGCTAGGGCACGAAGCCTTTCTAAGCTCTTCATGCTGTGCAGGCTGCTCCGTGGTCCCACCCTGGCCTCTGCACGGCTCTGTCCATACAATCAGTGCCATGTCGGGGCAGAGAACTGCCTGGCCCGTGCCCTGCCTCGTGTTTAGTGTCTGTAGGTCATTAAGACAAAGGGGCTGGTTTTCACCTCCTGCCAGGCTAAAGCCAGCAGAAGCCGGGATGGACCCCAGTGGAAGGGCATTGTGTTTGACATGTCTTTACCATGTTGACCAGAAACCAATCTTTCCTCTCTTTCTGACCTTTTCAGGGCAGCTCTTACATATTCTAGTGGGCACAGGGTCAGGCACTGACACCCCTGCCAGGAGGCCTTGCTTAATCCTTGATATAATCCTTGTGTCTGTGTTCTTGCAGGCAGAGGAGAGGAGAACAGCAGAGAAGAGGAGATCAGACAGTGACAGAGGCCCAGAAAGTGAGCACAGGCAGAAGGTGAGGGGGGGGGCCGTGTCTCTTGGGCGGGGGGGGCATGTTTTGGAAGAGAAAACCAGTAGGATGTGCCTCCCCACCAGTAAGAGCTGCCTCAACTGTAAAGGAAGTGCTCGGATGTGGTGCTCACTGTTCAGCCCCCTCATCCAAAGCTTTGCTGAGCAGCTGACGCCCCTGATGACAGGCTGAGATTGCTGGGCTGGGTCAGCCTGGAGAAGAGAAGGCTCCAGGAAGACCTCAGAGCAGCTCCAGTGCCTAAAGGGGCTCCAGGAAACCTGGAGAGGGACTTTGGACAAGGGATGGAGGGACAGGACAAGGGGAATGGCTTGAACCTGCCAGAGGGGAG